TTGTAGTAGCTTACACATAGATATTACTGAGAGTCTCAGAATCTATTTTATTTTATTATGTGTTTCCATTGACAGAAGATCACTGGATTTACAAAAACAGGTATTCCATTTGGTTTCTTTGATACTTTAAACTATACAGATCGACTCATCCTTCAAAATAATGTGTTTGATTTTTTTTTTTTAAAGTCATCATCTTGGAGCACTTGGTGCAATGAATGGAAAATATGTCACGGCGACCTTTTTAAAATATGTGCTGTTAATTTAATGGGAAAAAAATGAAAATAAACATTAGATAGATTACATTCTTAGTTTTTTCAGTTTGAGAATACCGGTAATACTCTCATATGGTTGAGGCAGGTTTTAACTGTCATTTGCAATCTCACAGAATACACAACTAAGTTTGATTCTTCTCCTTCTCCTTCTCCTTCTCCTTCTCCTTCTCCTTCTCTTCCCATTTACTATAGGTCATAATATATTAAAAGAAAAGGCCAAGAAAACCCCTACAAAGGACACATTGCATCTGACAAAACAATGATTTTCTGTCTCTTTGTCTGTCCCTGTCTCCTCCTCCCCTCCATGTGTGTATTCCACCAAGATAGCCAAGTTGGGTTCAAGTATTGCATCTCTTGTTGAATGGGCCCACATTCTGGCTGCTGGTTGAATCTATGTCACTTAAAAATTCAAGATCATCCCCCATCACTGCTGTGCAATCACTAGGACCAGGTTTGACAACCCCTCTTGAGAAGTCATGGTACAAAAAAAAAAATTAGGACAAACAATAACATATGTATATATTTAGGGCAATGTCAGTGTATAGGAAGTAGAGATATATCTTCTATATACTAAATTCCATATTTTTCTTCAATCTGTTTATTTGCTGGGCTTATAGGCCATTCCAATTGTATATTAGTAAATCAGGTTGAAACATATACGTATAAAATACGGATTAAAAATATATATCAACATAAAAATTCCTTAATTTGGAGTTAATCATCTCCAGTAGATGACATTTGCTGGACGAAGACTATGAGAACAGTTCCCTTTAAACTACTTTGTTGGATATCTAAGTACCTGACTGTTATTGGTAGATTTTGCATAGAGTGTCCTTCTATTGCAAAATGAATTCATAGCAATCCAGTGTAGCTATAGTTTCTCTAGACTGACATGAGTCTGCATGGGAACTCAGCTTCGCTTATGACACCTTATATTATTCATTTATGAAGAGGCAAATGACACAAAAGGTGAACTGACTGTATTTATTAAGATCAGAGTTGAACTCAGGTCTTATCAGGAACATAGTAGAGGAACTTAACATCTTGCAAACAGTACACCTTTACTCTCCATAACATAGATAGGTTCAACTTTTGTAAATACCAACTTTTTAACAGAGGAATAGCTGAAATTAGTATGCTCAGAATTATACTTACTTTTAAATTTTGGTATCAGATTACTGCTTTCTGCATTATAGCCTAACAAAATGTCACCTATGGCTCAAATGAAATTATTTCAAAAATATTGCCTTGGTGCTTAGTTTGGGTATTAAACTAAGCAAAGATCAATTATTAAAAAGGAAGTCTTTTGTCTTGTGGATGCGGCATCAAATAGGTATGCAGGTCTGAATACTTTTTGAAATGAAAGACAGCTTGTGTCTTTTAGGTTCAGCCATCAACTTTAAAGGAACAAGCAGTCAAGAAATACACTGCAGACTAGCAATTGATAGAACAGCCTTCAAAATATATTCAGATATTGTGATATGTCCATGCCTACAAACATCACAATCATGCAAATAATGGTATTCTATGAAAACAAAGGTTGGAGTATTGATGCATTTGAACTTTGATGTTGGACAAGACTCCTGGGAATACCATGCCTAGTCAAGAAAACAAAATCCTATCTGTATGATTGCTAAAGTCCCATAATTAATCAAGCCATCAATCAATCAAACTGGTGAAGATTCAGGTCCCAAATTTATCATAACAATGCCTGTGCCATAAGTTTGTGTATTGGTGAAAGTTGATTTAGGTTGATGATACAATTCCATTGCATTAGAACTACACATAGATAAATAGAATTGTATTGTTGTGTTCTTTCTTGGGTGATTGGAGGTAAGAATTTAAGTTATCCCAAATAAAAATTCATTCTAGCAGAGTAACCTCAAAATGTCCTCAAGAATTCTCCAAATATATTTTTCAGTTCATGTAACACCTGGTTCAGTTTTTTAGAAACATCATCTAATAAAACTATATATGAGTAAAACAAAGGTTACAATCTCACCAGTATCTACTCAGAAATATACTCGGTAGAAAAATGTACACTTCTGTTTAATTTTATGTGTCCACAGCCTTGATCAGTCAACACTGCAGTCATCTACAAGAAAAATCATGTATATTTATGAATGGAATTTCAAATACTTTTTTTAAAGAAATAAAAGCCATAAACGCCTAATTCAGAAAGAGAGTTTGTTGGTGAAGAGTGTTGCCTTAATCCTCCCAAACCACTCACCTACATTACTTTTTGACATTTTTTAAAGATTTAAATTAAATTTAAAATGTATCTAATCTATCAAGTAAAATTACAATTAAAACAAACAAATTGCTCTTCACACTATCAGTGGTGAGACAAATAGTAATCAGGGATGGAGATTTTTGCCTAAAACATTTGGAAAGAGTCCACTCATTTGCATTAGTTCCAAAACACCTAGAATGGCCTTATGTGATTGCCTTAAAATTAGAAAAAGTTCACCAAGTTGGAGCAAATAAAACACCAAGGTTATTTTAAAATGTGGTACTGTAAATAAAAGCTAATGTTCAGTATATGTAAGACATTAAAGGCATGAATTAAGTATCAGTCTTATTTAAATGTAGTTTTCATTGACTGTTGATATTAATTTTATTTATGAAATCAATGAGTGCCTTAATATGTCAAATTACCAGCACCTTGAATGTTTTGAGTTTTTCAAAAGTAGAGATTTGAAATTATGCAAACAAATTCTGGCAACTGTAACTTATTTGATATTAAATATTGTGAGCCTGATGGTATTTTGAAAGTATATGGAAAAAAAAAATACAGGCAACTACTTTTCTGATACTTTTCATAATAAGCCCTTAACTAAAATGATCCATAACCACGTTTCTACATTAATTCAGTGGAATGATTCATGAGAAAAGCATTTTATTTTTTATCAGTTTAAAGCAATATAATCTAGGAGACATATTTTCTGTAATGTTTCTGATCCAGGGATTAGCTGCCCCATTAAGAAGCTTCAACGCAGTGAAGTTAATATAAAGGATTCATTTGTGTTTACAGTCCACCTTTGCATTCAGAATATTCTAGGTTTAATCACCACTATCTTCATATTGGGTTGGCAAAGTACATGCTGAAATCCTAAATTTCAAAAACACTGGACTAGATGAAACGACGATTTTATTCAGTAAAAAGCAATGTGTAGTGTCTGTCCCCTCCACCAGAGGGTGGCAAAATTTTCTGTATAGGAATCCCCCTGCCTCCCATGCCAATGTATTTTTTTTCAGAATGTGAAAAAAAAGGGGAATTAAATCTAGTTTTTTAAAAATAACCCTTGCAAAAATTTACAATGCTTATGAGTAGTGTTATACTAATTTTTAATCGGAGGGCTGAAAGATCATAAGATGGTAGTTTGCTTAAAGTCACTAACTGATTCTTGACGGTTCATTATGCAATTCAGGATTATTTTTCAATATCCCTGAGTCCAGTTGCTTTGGCCTGCAAATGCTCTTTAACGTCATCTCGAGGGGAGGAGTGGAAACTGTTTATGTCCAGGATATGAGGGGTCTGCAGATTTCTTGTCAGTTCTCCTTCTGACCCACGTAATATTCAGGCCTTCTATGGAAGGCATAACAGATAAGTACAATCATGGAGGGAAGGAGTAGGGGGAACTATGAAATTCTCAAAGTAAAAGAGGTGCCTAAACGTGCCTATTTTTCTTTTGGTGGGCTGTTTTTATTACTCTAGAAATGCTAAAGACAAAGAAGCAAATGATTTTACTCTTGTTAGCATCACTTCAAGCTATTTTTTTTCCTGTTGGCCAAATGTCTATGGTTTGAGATTCACAAGACTCTGGAAATGGGTGATAGTAAGACAGTAATAGAGAAAACAATTAGCTAATTCCATCTGCAGATCCTTATCTTTTTAAAAACCAGGCCCCTCATCAATTAGAGCAGAACCCCACTCGATATTGTTTGAGCTTCAGTGAAATAATGCATTAAGACAGGGGTGTCAAACTTGATTTCATTGAGGGCCACATCAGGGTTGTGTTTGACCTCGGGAGCGGGGGCTGAGTGGGAATGGCCAGGATGAGAGTGACATCAGCTTGACATCATTCATGTCAGGGGCACCTGTGGTGGCCTGAGCATTCTGCCAGCAACTGTGGACCAGTCATTCATGTTTCCAAGGCAACCTTGCGAGCCAGATCTAAGCACCCTATGGACCATATTCAGCCTGCAGGCCTTGAGTTTGAAACCCTATGTTAAGGTCTCATGTTAGCATCCTATATAAATGGATTGTCTGTTTTCTGGGAGTTTTGAGCAAAACCAGGAAACAAAATTGTGCTTCCAATTGTGCTTTCAACAACACTTCTCACTCAAAGATAGTGATTTTGATTATATTAATAGCTCTTTGATTTGATTTATAAATGTTTTAATGTAACTGGCCCCAGTGAAAAGAGAAGGAAATATGACATATTACATGAAACATCTTCTAGCGACTGCTAGATGCAAAAAGGGTGAAGATTCTTTTGGAAATATAACCGATGTATTATTTTAAGTGAAGAATTTTAATGTGACCTTCATTTGGCATTTGTTTTACTCTTCTTCTCTTTTTCTTATTTATTTTTTCCACTTCTGTTGTTCAGTTAGTGGTTGACCCCTTTAGTGGAGATGTAAATGAAGTGACATTTCAATGCCATCCCATATTTAAAATACTGTGTTAGTTGTGGCTCTTAAAGGATGATCTACATTCTTAAGCTCATTTATTCATTTAACAATTTCCCTCCAGAAGTTTCAACAGAAGGCTCAGAAACAAACTAAGCAGAAGAAATCTAAGTCGTCTGACTTTCTGATGGCTGAGCTTTGCTCAATGAGTTATTGCTCATAATTTGTGTAAGGATTAATTAAATAATTACAGACAAATGGCTGTAGGCAAAATTTTGTTCTTGCTTGTCAGAGTGCTGTTTGTAATTATTTTAATCATTTGTGTCCCCCCTCTTTTTAATAAAGAGTTAATTTTATTTTAATTCTATTTTAGTGATATTTGATGCTGCTACCGCACAAGTAAATGAAGGATTAGAAGGAATGCTCTGCTTGTCATTGTCTTGGGTACACTTTTGACCTTGTCGCGTTTCTCTCCTTCAACAGCAAAAGATAAGAAAGTTTCAATTGAAGTCTCTGAAAAATCCAGCTTTTAACATCAACAATACTGATATTTCAGCACATCAGACTTACAAGGTGGGACTTATTAGATATGACAAGCTGACTTGCAGTCTTGCAGCTCACCCACAAAAACTCAGGTTGCAAGCCCAAGCTGAACCAAGAGGTGAGATTTCACTCTTGATCATCATCAGCTTGAGTGACAATGCTTATGTCCTTGATCTAACCTGTCCATTCCACGTCGATTCAAACATTGTATCATGACTTTCCCCCCCAATAGACTGTCCTAAAACCTGCTATGCTGAAACTGAAAAAGCAATATGGTTGCTGAAAATATAATTCTTTGTAGAGTTGTTTTTATGATGTGTAGTTTCTAGAGAAATGCATACTAGAAGAAGTTTCATCAAAAGTGTCTTTCTTTGTATTGTATTGCTATGTAAGTTATGTTAAAAGTAAAAAAACCTGGAATTCAATATGAGAAAGGGCAGGTTTTTCACTACAGTAGTGAACACTTTTTTCACTACAGTAGAATCAATCTTAAAATAAAAGTAGATATCAGATGCCTGGAAAATGCTGTTTGTCAGCCAATGATTACTTTTTTAATTTATGAAGTATTTTATTCTGTCATCACATAATGCCCATATTGAGGCTAAGGATATTAAGGTTGAAATAAACTAGATTACTTCAGCCAATCCATGTAACTTAATTGCTGAAATATTTCAAAATAAGAATCTTCACAATTATATGGCACACAAAATGCTACTTTGTACAGTTAGATTTTCAGCTTAGCCTCATCAATTAGTATATTCTGAAAGAATTTTTTTTTTGATGATGAAATAAAAATAATGTTTGTGCCAAGTAGAAAGGGGTGTTTGGGTGGTGAGGCAGAGGTAGTAGACCATCTTCCAAAAAGAAGCAGAGTTACTGTGAGTCTTCTCCCTATTAAGTTACCAAATTTATCTAAACCATCACCTCAGTATTCTCTCAGCTTAAGGTTGTAGCTCTGAATCACTTGGTCTACATCTTACCTGTGGGAACAAGAATGGGATAGTGAATAATAAACTCCACATCAAGGTACTCCCAGAATCATGAAACAGTGTCTTCCATATAGATCAGGGGTCCCTACACCTCGGGGTGCACGAAGTGAAGTTTCACCTGCATATGTACGGGATCGAGGTTCTGCATAAAACCATCACTCCTCCAGACCGTGGAAGACAGTTTTTCTTTCAAAAACTGGTCCCTGGTGCCAGAAAGGTTGAAATAGTAGTGTAATTAGGTACTGATTTTCTCAAGTCAGCTTTTCCTGCTGAGGAAGATAAGAAGAAATCCATGTTTGGAGACTGTTCCCAGACTGCTTTCTGGCTTCTCAGTTTTCATAAGGCATTTAGTTTAAAAGGGTAGAGAACTTTATTAAGGTGAGAACTTCAGTGAGATCATTGCAAGGTCTAGAGTCTGAATTTGGACCGTAAATGAAATCTTTTTCAGTTTTGGCCTGAAGAGGTTAATCAAACCCATGGAGGGTCATCTATGGTGGGCAACCCATTTAGCTGTGAAATGTAGGAAATGAGGGAGGGAGTCAAGCATATCATCAGTCTTGAGTTCTGAGTGCTTTGTGCCCACAAGATATCTAAGTCCAGCCCACCTTGGATTCTGTTGATTCCTATCTACCACCAATTTGCTTTGAACTTTAGTAGTTCAGTTTCTTGTAGAGAGTGATGGCATGCGATAAACCTGTACTCTTTCAAACTGTCTTGGTTCCTGATTTCCTGTGCTTGACATGCAACTTATTAATAGCCAGCTCTAATTTTATTAGAGAATTACATCTTTCATTTTCTTCCAGCCTTAACCATCTTCTGCACTGCATTTTATGGGGCTACCCTTGAAGAGTATTCAGAAGCTACAATTGATCCAGAATGCAGCAGTGCATACAGATTTGGAGGCCCCTTGGTTGGCACATGCAATATCACTCTTAAGTGAGTTGCAATAGTTGCCAATTTGCTTCTGGATACAATTCAAGGTGTTGGTCATTGTCTTTAAAGCTCTTTATGGCATAGGACCAGGATATCTAAGGAGCCATCAGCCCCAGTGGGATTGGTCCACCTCACTCCTGCTAGTGGAATGGGTTTTAATCTGTTTTTATATTTTATAATTGTTTTTAGTTCTGTATATGTTATTATGATGTCAGTTGCTCAGTGTTGCCTTGTGCCCCAAGTCTAGTGGCATATGCATTTTTATAAACCAAGAAGTAAATAAATAAATATGGCTCAGTTATTTTAGGTAAATGTCTTATCTGATATGCATCCTGTTTATTAAGCTGTTCTACTATTGACAAAATGACAGATTTTAGAATTACAGTCATTTCTTGTCCATTTGTTATTTCTTTTTCCCTTTGACTTCAATAATAGAATAAAGGATAAATAGTCTGATATGATTTATTATTAAGCTCTTTTAATATGATGATTTTTTTAAAATTCATCCATCTTCACAGATCTTGCATAGCATGATGTCCCCTCTTGCATACATTTAAAGCAGAGGTGGTATTCAGCAGGTTCTGACCAGTTCTGGAGAACCGGTAGAGGAAATTTTGAGTAGTTTGGAGAACCGGGAAATACCACCTCTGACTGGAGATTTTACAGTATCCTTCCCCTGCCACGCCCACCAAGCCATGCCCACAGAACCTGTAGTAAAAATATGTGAATCCCACCACTGATTTAAAGAGAGTTACCAGTAGATATTTCCTGCAAAAGGAACATTTAGTGTACCAACAGCAGTAGATATAGACTACTTTTTTAAGCATGGAAGAGGACAAAGAGCATCTGGAGAGGTTTGGAAACTCTCTAGTTAGAAAGGATTTGGTTTTTGCTATGTTCAACAGAGGCCTTTTGCACAAGTCTGAACAAAGAAAGAACTTACATATAATAAATTGCTGAGAATTTTTTATACACACACACACACACACACACACACACCAGGATGCCAACTGCTACAAAATGAATTATGTTACCAATGTTTCATTGCAATAGACTGCAATGTATATATAAGTTAAACATAATATACAATATAAATTAAAAAGGTATCCAACAGTCTAAATGTGAATTGATTCAAGGCCAGTCTATTTAAAGGCCTATTTGTATGTATGTGAGGACTGATCAGGAGCATGGTTAGCACCGAAGAATTTGCACCACCATTTTCTCTTTTAATGGTCAACATTAACATCTGCAAGAAAGCATGTTCTCACACCACTTTGTGCTAGAGGAAAACAATTATGCTGTATAAGGTAGACTAGCTCTGTTATTGCGGTACATAAGACTTTGATTACATACTGCCAGGATTCATACCAGCCTAGTAGTTGTTGACAGATAAAGTAACAAAAATGAAACTCATTTATTTATTTTTTTTCTTTGTTGAGACCTCAAGGTAAAGCAAATTTTCAGGTCTCGTACTTACTGCATGGAAAAAATAGACCCTGACAGTCAAAGTGTGCTAGTCCAGAAATCTAAATTAAACTTAGTTTCATATCAAAGTTTCATTTAGTCTCTGAGAAACAGCTGCTGCTGGCATTGCATGTTTTTTTTTAAGTAAAGCAAAAGTAAATATATTGTTTCTACAGTATTTCTTTGCTTTGTTTTCCTTGTCATATCTCTTTGATCCTGGCCCATGTCTCTGGGTGTGCGCTTTCATTTTCATTTATTTTATCTGAGGGAAGACATTTGAAAAATATAAGACCAAATTCCTTTATTTTCACATCCGAAATGTGTATCCCTGTCTCATGGCATATGCATCCCATGACTAGAATAGAATAGAATTCTTTATTGGCCAAGTGTGTTTGGACACACAAGGAATTTGTCCTGGTGCAAATGCTCTCAGTGTACATAAAAGAAAAGATACATTCATCAAGAGTCAAGAATCATCAGGTACAACACTTAATGATAGTCATAGGGTACAATAAGCAATCAAATCCTAGGAAATATAAATTGTTAGGATACAAGCGACTAAGTTACAGTCATACAGTCATAAGTGGGAGGGGATGGGCAATAATTAACAGTAATAGTAATGCAGACGTTGTAAATAGTTGGACAGTGTTGAAGGAATTATTTGTTTAGCAGAGTGATGGCGTTTGGGGAAAAACTGTTCTTGTGTCTAGTTGTTCTGGTGAGCAGTGCTCTATAGCATCGTTTTGAGGGTAGGAGTTGTGAATGTTAAGATATTCCTTTATTTTATTCCTGTAATAAAGTAATAACACAATTAAAAAATAATGTCCAGAATAAGCCAAGCAAAACATTTAGCTAATACAGTTGTGAACCTGACAAATGCAGCTTGTCTACTTTAACAAGGCAGAATACTACTGCTTTGATTAATTGTAGCAGTGGTTGCCAACTAGTGGGCCATGGCCCACTGGTGGTCTGAGAGAAAATGTTGATGGTCCTCAGAGAAATGTCACCCCCAGAGTGCCTCCCAAAAGCAAGTAATCCAGGCTGTGCAGCAACACAAAGTTGTGCTGCCCACATGGCCTGCGGGAACCCTTCCCACCCACTCACTCCTTACCTGGCAAACTTGCCTGCTAAGTTGCTATTTTTCCTTTCCCCCCCTGACTGTCAGCTGTTCTGCTGTGCCGGGATATTTATATTAGCTAGAAAGAGGAAATCATTGGATTTCTTGCTTTCTAGCTAATCTTTAGATCTTCCTTCCTTAGGACTGAAACTTCTATTAGTCAGTGCAGACTCTGATAGCCAATGTCAGAAAGATAGATCTCTGAATGAATCTGTGATTCTGTGAGCAATTCAATCTGCTTGCCTACTTTGGGTAAAAATTCCTCTTTTTTATAAAAAAAATCAATATTTACGTAAATATAATTTTTACATACAAGCCATGCCCAGCCAGTCACATGACCACCAAGCCACACCCATAAATTAGGTCACACCCACAGAATCAGTTAAGAAATTTGAATCCCACCCCTCCCTACCTCTGTCTGTCTGTCTATCTGTCTGTGAGAGAGAGAGGGGTGTTATGTGATGACCGGGAGCATGACACAGAAATAACACAGTCACAAAAGTAGAATAAATTCCCTTTAATGCCTCCAACTTGGGCCTCAATGTCCAATTATCCTCGACTTGATATCAAACTCTTCCAAAAACAGTCTACGAAGAGAGTAAATGCAGTCTGAACCAAAATAAAAATAATTAGAAATTTAAAAAAACCCAACACAAACCACACTGGAGTCATTAACATGGCAGGCCAGGATGATAAATTGCAGACTTCCACAAAATAACGCAGCAACCACAGTTGGGAAGATGCCAAAACCCAGATAAGTCTCAACCAAGATAAAGCACGCTTTGCTTCTAGCAAAGAGCTATTTAAAATGCCCCACTTATATCTCGTTCTCCCAGCTGCAACTAAGGGAGGGATCAGGGCCTTTTCCTCTCCCGTAAGACATGTTGCTCCCTTCTCCGTTCCTCCCTGCATGCCCTAGGATGAAGAGGGGATGACCCTGGGTCTTGCTCTGAATGCCCAGCCGGACTGTGCTCTTCCCCCATTTCTTCCACAGCCACTGGAGCCACACTCCCACTCCCTGTCAGCTCCTCAGTCTCCCCCTCAGAATCAGACTCCAACAAGGGCATGGCAGGTTAGATCAGATCTCTCTCTCTCTCACTCTCTCTCCCACCAACGTCAGCAGCAACCGTCAGTCAAAATTCATGTTAGTGGTCCCTGGGATTTAAAATTATGAGTTTGGTGGTCCCTGAGGTCCAAAAGGTTGGTGACCCCTAAACTGTAGCAGCTTCATGATTGTATAGAAGGACCATTGCTACAGAAGGATTGCAACTTTTCAATTCATGCCTTTAATCATTACTACCATGGCAAACCCAAAGACAACCCTCCCACTCCCATATTATAGCAATCCTCTTATAGATGGATAATAGGAGCAGTACTGGTGCCACTTCCCACTGAAGTAATATTATCTAATGTAAATGTTAGCCTGCTTCTAAAGATTTACAACAGTTCATTTAGTGATTGCTCAAAGTTACACAGCACTGAGAAAAGTGACATGACTCTTTTTCACACTTACGACCGTTGCAGCATTCCCATGGTCAAAATTCAGATGCTTGGCGACTGGCTCATATTTTTATGGGTGATCCCCTTTTGCCACCTTTTGACAAGGAAATAAACCATATTCATTTTTTACAACCGTGTTACCAACTTAACAACTCTGGCAAGGAAAGTCGTAAAATGGGGCAAAATTCATTTAACAAATGTTTCGCTTAGCTGCTGAAATTTTGGGCTCAGTTGTGATGGTTAACTCTTCTAAGGATACCATGAGACTCATTACTGGAAAAGAATAATGAACCAAACCTATTTCTCTCATCGGTTGTGTCAGCCGATGTCCTCCTCTCACTTTTAAAAACAAAATATAAATTTCCTTAGTTCCTGAAGCACTATGTACACCCAGCTATGGAAATGGAAACTGCTAAGTGAGTAGTTTTATCCCATCAAATTGTTATGTGGATGCTGAGCCCAAGCTAATACAATTGCGGTTCAGATTAATGAGGCAGCATTCACAGCATCTCCTCTGTAATTAAACACTTCCATGGTTGACAATAGTATTAAAGACATACCAGATGTTGAAAGCTGAGTGGTGAAACTTAAAACTGTTAAAATTGAAGGGGTCACCTGTGAAACACAATTTCCTTAACTGTTTCTTTTAGAGCCCATCTCAAGAATAATTTTGGTTGAGGAGTTGGTTTAAGAATGTTATTTTAATCAACCTATCATCTTCATTTGAGAATTTTCTCATTAATTTCTGAGCAAAAGTAACATCAACTGAACTTGTTTCCAAAATTACCTATTCTGACCTTTTCCTAGATGATAATTATGAAAGCAGTCAGCATAGAAGACTTTGTTTATATATATATGTGTGTGTGTGTGTTTGTGTGTATGCATGCATGTATGTATGTATATGTATATGTATATGTATATGTATATGTATATGTATATGTATATGTATATAATAAAGTAGTAGCAGAAATGCCCCTCTTGCATGCTCGTGTTGGATTTCAAAATTAACATTTTGGTTCATGTGCTTCTAATAATCACTGACCCTTACTTCATGTACTTTCCACAGGAAATGAATGCAGCAGAAATTACTTTGACCCTCTGATGGATGAGGAAATAAACCCAAGGCAGTGTGGAATAGAGGTCAGCAAAGAGGGTGAGGCAGAATTAAGTATGTAATTTTTGTGTCAGAATATTCTTTCCCGTTCATGGAAATGAGGTGACAAAGATCACAAATTCGGTTCCATTTAAATATCCAGCTTACAATTTAAATTATAAGTTTTAGTTGCTCTAAATGTGATAGGAAGCTTTGGGAGTCTTTGATGAAGGACAGTGTGTTAGTGGACAATAGAATAAGCAATTGTTGAGCTACATTTGTTCTGGCATTGTATTTACAGGTCTGCTAAGCCAAGTTTCTTAACTGTAGTTGAAGAATGGAAGCAGGAAATGTCTGCTAAGCATGTTAACTAATTAAAAATATTTAAAATGTCTAGTCAAAACTGGTAGAACAAGATGTTTAATATTGGCTTGGCTTTGAATAAAGGTTTTGTGGAACTACAGGCATTATTGTGTGATCTCATAATTGGGTCTTTTGCTGAGAAAAACAAATATTTTCTGAGGCCTTAAATCCTGCTGTATGAATGGAACGCACAGAAAGTAAAAAGATCACATTCATTTTGAATTTTAAATATTTCTTTTTCTGGTTCACTTAAATACAGTATATAGGTCTTGTTAAACACATTTTAAAAACACTTTGGTGCATTTAATTATGGATATATATATATATATATATATAGACAGAAATTTTCTCTAATCTGGACCCATTTCAGATGTACCAGACCAGGGGTGTCAAACTCACATCATCACGGTGGCGTCATGTGACATATTGGAATTTTTTTCCCATTCGCTAACCCGGGCGGGGGTGGGGCCAGCACGTGATGCATCCGGGCTGTGGGCCACGAGTTTGACATCCCTGTACTAGACTATAACTTCTAGAATTCACCTGTGTCATTGACAATTCAGGAAACTATGGCCTACAGGTCTGAAGATCCTAGATCAGGGCAGGCTGATTTGATGAAATTGTTAATGCGAATACACACACACACACACACACACACACACACACGTACATATGAAAAAAAGTTACAGAATGTGTTTGGTCCTTCTATTTATTTGCTCTCTGTTATTTATTTAAAAGTAAAAATTATAGTTAGAACTACATCTACTTGATCTCCATTACTGATTGCTACTTTCTTATAAGTTGAGCTTAGGATGAGGCCTTGCCTCCTACCTCATAACTGGTCAGGAAGAGCAACATTGAAAAACACCACCCCATTTCCATTAGCACCCCCCTAATCTGATCCAGAAGGATATGAAAGTTATATGGTATTGAAACATACCAGAAGATTCAGGAATGCCAGGGTGGATTTGCCACCCCATTTCATATTCTCAAAGATCATGCACAAGGATGGTCAATGCCATTCAGTGCTGCTACCTGGTCTGAATCTTGACTGAAAAGGGTCAGATCATCTGCTTCTTTTTGGGCTCTCTGAAGCTCAGTAGTCACTTTCTTTTCAACAATCTTCCCTGAATTAAAACAAAACAAAACACAGAGTTGGCCTCTTGAGAAGGGAGTGAACCACCAAAGGAGAATATTAACCATTAAAGGAGAATATTTGTAGTTCATGGTTGAAATGAGCGGTCTTTGGTGCTCTCTGAGCTTGGTTGTTTTCTTGCAGACTTTTAATTACCTAAACTAGGTAGCATCATCAGCGCTAGTGATGCACAGGGACCTACATTAACCATTGTTTGGACTCAACTTCCCAAGAAGCCTTAACTCAAGGCTCTTCAAACTTGGCAAGTTTAACTCCCAGAATTCCAGAGCTAATGTGACTGGAGGAGGAATTCTGGGAATTGAAGTCCACAAGTCTTAAAACTGTCAAGTTTGAAGACCCCTGCCTTAACTAGTCAAGAGAATCATGGGTCCCAAGCACAGGTGGCAAACACATAACAGCAAGCACTCTGTCTATTTCCTCAGGATCAACTGGTTGAAACTCTTCCCAGACAACAAAACAAAGGTGCAAAGGTGCGTCTTCTATAAGACCTCTTTATTAGATTGGCTCATTAACTAGTCTAAGCTGTTAAAAACTTTTGGAAAGCAAGTCTGAAAACCCAGATGAGTTTGCCTTCAGTGCAGAATGAAAGGAAATTTTAATTGTAAGTTTAAGAATGAAAAGAATTTGAAATAAGCAGCAAAAAAAGCTTAATAAGATGTTGATCTTAGCATGAGAATAGTTCCTAAAGTAAAGAAGCAAGACTATTTTTCTCTGAATGCAAAAAATACAGGATCGAAAAGCATCACTTGGTTACTATTTTAGTGTAGCTGTGTCTCCTTGTTTCGTACTCATAATGTCAATTATTCCATGGAGTTTATTTTCTCCCATTTCCTTTTTTCAGCAGTTATTTTCTGAAGATTCCACAGCCATACAATTCTTATAATATGTAATAGCAACAACATTTAACTGATATACCACTTCATAGTGCTTTGCAGCCCTCTCTAAGTAGTTTACAGAGACAACATATTGCCCCTAACAATCTGCGTCCTCATTTTACCTCTCTTGGAAGGATGGAAGGCTGAGTCAGCTTTGAGCCAGTCAGAATCAAACTCTTGGCAGTGAGCAGTGAGTTTGCCTGCAATACTGCATTCTAACCATTGTGCCACCATGGCTCAGTCAGAAATGGTCAATTCTGCCTATTTAAATGCTTTATTATATAGTTTTCTAAGATTTTAACTCTCTGAATTATCTCAATGTATCTGATTTTACTTCTTATAGCACTTGTCAAGTCAGATGAGTTATTCCTGCATGACAAACTGATGTGGCTTATAAATAAAGGCAGGGGAAGGGCTGGTGTCACATGGTAAATTTATTATAATAAAATTTTCATTCAGAAGATGAAGTATGCATATTTGTTTCATTAATATAAAGACTGTGAGAAAGAATTGGTTCACTATTTATCCATAATTAGGTTTCTGCATATCAGCCCTCCTAAATGGATACCCTCCAATTATTTGGATTACAGCTTTATGATTGCTAGCCATTATGTCCTACATTTCTAGAGGTTACTTGGTTGAGAAGGTTGCATTTTACAATTATTCTGCCTACATAACTAGATTTGATACCTAGAAGTTAAAGTGTGAATTATTTGCAGAACTCTATGAGTAAAATATAACAGAATTTCTGCCTGCGGTGTTGTGTAAAAGATCATTCATGAAAGCAAATTGTGTCTTGCAGATAAGGATGTAATCATGAAGACCATTTGTGCATATGAATAAACCAAAATTAATATAATAGATAGAGATTGGGAAATCAGGTTCAGTGCATAACATCTTAACTTAAAACACTTAAGTAGATGAATAATTCAGTGTAATTTTTATAAAACAGAAGTCAAAATTCGTTTTTTTAAAACAGTATTTTATTACTCTTTCCAAGAGAAGTATATACATAATATTAAAAATATAGTGTAGTACCAGCATTAATAATAATTATTTTCCAAGTAAAAATGCTTGGAAAATGCTATCAAAATCACTTTTCTCCTAACTCTTCTTTCTTTGGTCCTTTGTCACAAGGAGCGAAGGAGGAAGGGAGAACTAATTCAATTGACATTGAATATACCCAATGCCATAACTTGTACATAGTAATAAAAATTTTAAGAAGCGAAGTACAAAATCCAGGTTCAATGCATTTCTTATTTTCATAGAAAGAGCATGTTCTTGCAGAAATTGATTTTCTGCCTCAGTTTCTTGGAATCATCACTTTCTAAAAGATTCCAAAATATTAATCTAAGGCTGCAGGAGAGATCGAAGACTACTGTTTTCAACCCCATCCCCTGGATTTCTGTTGAATCCTATACTTTGATTTTAAAGTACCAATCCTTTTCTATATCTAGTAGGAAGAGGTGCAAGGTAATCTTTACTGTACGTGACAAAGAGCTATGTCTCACTCATGGGATGAATGAGAGATGCAGACAAATAAACTATATTCGCAACAATTTATCTTCAGCATTTTTGATTATACAAGAAAAACACCCTAAAATATTTCTGATTTATTTTTTTAAAGGACAATGATTATGCCCTCAGCACGTATGTTAACATAATTTGAATCAAGAAGGAGTAATAATCATGCATGTTCACGCACAATTTACAGATTTAATGAACGATATCAATTCAAGGAAAAAGTTGTGGGAAAATTTTAAAAACTCGAACCCATCTCCAAAATCCATGGTTTCATATTTAAAAAAAGAGAAGAAAATAGATTTTGCCTACTTTGAATCAGGACAAACAATAAATCAGTTAAATATCTGATATAATTAGAAGCTTAATAGCCTACATAAAGCCACCCTGTGTTGAGTACACAAAACATGGAAGAACAGACTGTAATCAGTAGGCAAAAGTAACTGTTAAATTTTGCTACATTTAACAAAGAAACAAATCTCTTATCAAAATGTGTATTTAAGTTCCTTGTCTAGTTTGGATAATATTAAAACTAAATAAATAGGGATTTGTTTCATTGTACAGCTGCAATAAAATGGGAGAGTAAAGGCAAAACAATTTTTGAACCAATTATTTATTTATTTGATTTGTCAATCGCTTACAAGATAATAGGTATAAGTATAAACATAGTTATGAATACATGAAATGGATACATATAAGAAAAATAAAAAGAAACGATAGGACAGGGATGGTAGGCACGTTGGTGCGCTTATGCACACCCCCTACAGACCTCTTAGGAAAGGGGTGAGGTCAATAGTAGACAGTCTAAGATTAAAGTTTTAGGGGTTTGGGGAAGAAACCACAGTGTCAGGTAGGGTATTCCAGACATTGACCACTCTGTTGCTGAAGTCGTATTTCCTGCAATCAAGTTTGGCATGATTAACCATGAGTTTGTATCTATTGTGTGCTCTTGTGTTGTTATAGTTGAAGCTGAAGTATTCATTGACAGGACATTGCAATGTATGATTCGATATACTATACTTAGATCGGACCGAAGGTGGCGTAGTTCTAGGTTTTCTAGGTCTAGAGTTTCAAGTCTGGTGGCATAAGGTATTCTGTAATGAGTAGAGGAGTGGAGATTTCTTCTTGTGAAATATTTCTGGACTTTCTCAACTGTGTTAATATCAGATACGTAATGTGGGTTCCAGACTGATGAGCTGGATTCAAGTATTGGTCTAGCAAATGTTTTGTATGCTCTAGTTAGTAGTGTAATATTACCAGAGAAAAAGCTACATAAGATTAGGTTAACAACTCTTAATGCCTTTTTGGCTATGTAGTTTCAACGGGCTCGAGCACTTAGATCATTAGAGATGAGTACTCCAAGGTCCTTGACAGAGTTTGGATCATCAACAAGGTCTTGATTATTCAGCTTGTATTTTATTTTCTGATTATTATTTTTTTGCCAATATGTAAGACAGAGCATTTATTTGTTGAGATTTGAAATTGCCATTTGATTGACCATTCTGATACATAGTTGAGGTCTTTTTGAAGAGTAGCAGTATTTTCTGTGGTGTTGAATAGCTTTACATCATCAGCGAAGAGAACGCAGTTGCTCTTAATATGATCACAGTGGTCATTTATGTAGAGTATAAAGAGAGTTGGTCATAGAACACTGCCTTGGGGGACACCACTGTTGACAGGTACAGAATTTGATAGGTTGCTCCCAATTTTGACCTTTTTTTGTCTGTTTGACAGGAATACTTCTATCCAGTTATGCAGGTGTCCAGAGATACCATAAGATTTTAGTTTTAGGAGTAGTTTGTCATGTACCACTGAATCAAAGGCTTTACAGAAGTCTATGTATATTGTGTCTATTGCTTTGCCTTGATCGAGTTGTATAGTCCATATGTTTTTGCAGTGTAAGAGTTGCAGATTACAGGATAGTTTTTTTCTGAAACCAAATTGTTTATTAGAGAGTAGGTTGTTTGTCTCTAAGTGGAGGATAATGGATTGGTTAATAATTGATTCCATAACTTTACAGGTGACGCAGCATAAAGAGATTGGTCTGTAATTTTCAACTAGGCTGGGGTCTCCCTTTTTGAAGATGGGGATGACCGTGGCTTGTGACCATAGTTTTGGCAAGGAGCTGGTCCTGAAAGATTTTTCAAAGATTATGCTTAGAGGTTCAGCTATGGCAGTGGATAGCTTTTTTAAGAAGTAGGCACATATTTCATCTGGTCCAACAGATAGAGATGGTTTTAGATTGCATAGTGCTTTTTCAACATTGTCTTCTGTAAAATCAATATGTATTAGATCATTGTAGTTGTCTGTGGTTCAACTAGGAAATACTGGGCTTGAACCATTGCTGTTTACAAATACTGAGCCAAAGAATGTGTTTAAGAGGTTGGCTTTGATGGTGTCACCATTGCAGACTTTACCATTAGGTCCTTTCAGGGGTGAGATGGACCTTGAGTCTTTTAGTTTGTTGTTTAAAAGAATTGTGGAAAGTGTGGGTGGAATTGGTGTGTAGAAGGTTTTCCTCTTGTTTAATGTGATAATTGGTGCCTTCGGTCTTTATCTGGTGGCATAAATTTTTGTATCGGCTTTTGAAGTTGGCAACGTGACCAGATTTGTTTTTCCGCCAAAGTGATCTCTTTTTGGGCCAATTCTAGTAATAATTTTTTGGAATGAAAGACATAATATTATTATGTGTGATTAGCTCGCTTACATTTATAAAATGGGACAATAGTTTTTGGGATGTAACACAGCTTCTCTAAGATACCCTCAGTTTGTATGACAGGCGTTCAATTTGTAGAATTCTGTTTTTGCAACAGAGACTTTTCTTTAGTTGCTGCAATGTTTCAGTTGGCAATACCAGAATTTCCATTTGAAATGCTTCTGTCCCTTTCTCTTGTTGATGCCAGAGAGTTGAGTCAGATGACAAGAACATAAGGCAATAACTGTAAAGTGCTGAAAATAATTATACGAGACAATTAAAGCCAATGTGTAATGTTCATACGGCTTTCAGCCTTACCCTGAGCATCTTGTAGTTTGCCAAACCCACCCAAATACTTATATCATACACACAATAGCAATATAATAATACACACAGTATCTCAGAGGCTAAATGTCTGTGGAAATTCCCAGTCATCCAGGTCATCCTTGTCCTGAATGTGGTTTTTCAAATGGCAGGTGGTCTTTCTTTGTTTTTCCTTGATGACGTTTCACTTCCCATCCAAGAAGTTTCTTCGGTCCTTGAGAATGGTGGAGAATGGAAGGATTTATATTTCTTACAGAATCTGGTCGATAGCACTCTTTCTGAGTTGTAAGGGTCACTTGGAGGTTTAACAGCAATTCCAAGAAGGTTCCACACCCATTAGCATTTTTCAGGTGACCCTGAGGACAGAGATAAAATCTCCAAGTGGCCTCAATGACTCTCAGAATAGTGCTATCAATCAGATGACTTTAAGGATTACAAATCCTTCCATTCTTCACCATTCAGTTAGAACTGAAGAAGTTTCTTGGATGAGAAATGAAACATTTTCAAGAAAAAAGAAAGGTCAGTTGCCTTTTCAAAAAGCAGCTTTGGGACATCTAAGGGGCTGTCCCAAAGAAGTGCAGAGCCAGGGTCAATCTATTCTCCAAAGCATCTTAAGATAGGACAAGAAGTAACAGATGAAACCTTATTGAGGAGAGATCACAACTGGCCTTCAGAAGTTGTAGGTGTTCCATCACTAGAGGCTATTAAGAAGAGATTGGACAGCCATTTTTCAGAAGTGGGGTCTCCTACTTGAGCAGAAGGTTGGACTGGAAGACCTCCAACTCTGTTATTCTGTACTTCACGATGAGAATCAGCCATATTCTTTTTTTCTAGAAATGAAAGTTGAAGAGATAAAAGGTGAAGATACTTTGGATTCTATGTGCTTTGTCAACAGTATTAAGACCTCTGGTCTTTGTGATGAAGTTGAAGATGAAGACATTCTCCCTTACATCGAACAGTTTGAGAAAGAGGTTCACAATGAAGTTATTCTTCTGGGCAACCTTCCATGCAAACAGGTCAGAATGGAGTATCGACAGTCTAACTCATGACTTCATAACTAGTTTTACTTTTTACACATCTGACACATAGCCAAAGTGATGTCACAGTCTCTTCCACTTGACATTTTAACAATTGGGCTCCAGAATCACCCTGCAGTCCCTGATAGCCTTTGAGTATGACTACCAAACCCTTCAAAAAGTTTCCACCAGTTTCCAGTGTAATCTTTTAAGGAGTGGAAAGAGGAAATTATGAAATAAATAGAGATTGTTTATATTAATGTTATTATTTTAATCAAATATCTGTATCATAATCTTACCTGCTTCTTTGTCATGGTGTTTCCTGAACCTTGGAAATAGCTCATGTTTGTTTCAATTGTTGAAACTGAAATTGCCCAAAGAAACGTGAAAATAAAGGCAGGCACTAAAATTGGTATAAAGAAGATAATTCCAAATGCCAGAGAGGAAAATTTTATGAATCCAGATTGTAATTTCAAATGAACCCCCTTCTCAGATATATTATAAAAATTAAAAGACACAAAATCATTGAGACAGCAAATAGGTCAAAACACTTCACTTGCTTTCCAATTATTGTCAATTAAATGGTGGTACTAACCATTGTATAGAAGTTACTGAAAGCATTATAAAAGCATTCAGATGTGTTGCTTGATTAATCTCCATAACTCTAAAGTAGGCATAGAGCCTGAAAAAACAATTCTACTGAAGATAAAAGTGAATGCTTTTATAATTAGTTGCTATTGCTTAAAATATTGTTGTGTGTTCTTTATTACACCATAGATAATGAAAGTAGGCATAGAATTTACTCCCATAAGTCATTTTTTAATTTCTATGAAACTAAAAATGACTTTTGGCCTCTCAACATTTGCACACTTTCGGATTGATAGCAAACCATTTATCAAGCGATTAGTTATAAGATCCTTACCTAAAAATAATGGGATCATGTTCTCAGAAACAATGTGTCCTTTTATGTAGAGGATTATCTTGATTTGACTAAAAACTCTGCCTTAGTATTTAAACAATGTTATTTTTTACTTAAATAAATACTATGGTTAAAGTGTAAGACAAAAATCTATCTTTTTTAATCACATAAAATTGCTTTGCAGTCAAGCTTAAGAATATAAGACTATATTATTCAAAAGCAGTGAAGACCAAGCAGTGAATTGTCATATCATATAAGATTTTTGGCTCTTTTCATCCACAAGATCAGATTCCTTATGGTTATTGCATTTATTGTTGGTATTCACTTAAAGCATATTCTTTCCTCAGTCACCTGAATGGATAAATATACAAGGATTCTCTTCATGAATAAGAATGACAATAGTTCTTAAAATGCTGTTGCCCCAAAATTCACGTGGATAGGACACATGTTCCGTAACCAGAAAACAAAGAATTGAGCCCAATTAGTCAGAAACTGTACTACAATTAAGCAATATATAAGAACAGTGGATCTTGTCCATGGGTTTTCCAAAGGAGAGATAGTTTCAAAACATTGAATCAATTGGAATTCAACTCTAGGGGGAAACTGTAATTTGTACTGCAGAACTATTAGCTTTTATTGTCTTTCCTTACATGGAAAACTAATGCATGCCTACTTTGATTTCACCGGGAAAATTGAGTAAATAAGCATATGATTACACTTTTTAAATATAATATCTTCTAAAGATTATTACAGCATAGTCCCATTATGAGATTATGAGAGCAGAATATAAATATTTCTGGTTCTGTTAGGTAGCTTAATAAACTTCCCAGAGTTATATAATTTTAAATGTGAACAGAAGTATTTAAATGAATAGAAAGATAGGATCTTCAGTTTATGGACTATTAAAAATTGTTTGTGTGTACTTTTGACATCTCTGTATCATATCTGTTATTAAATGTTACTGTTCTACTTTCTTAGGCCTGGATCCATTGCAATAGATATTCAAATGCTTCTACATCTGTAAATGTAAAAAAATGCTGAATATTTTTCCTTAATTGGCAAGGAAACGTTTGAATCCACGTTATAGAACATATAGAATTTAATTAGTTGTTAATAGTCACAATTATCTCTTCAATCATTTAATTGGGTTTTTACCTTTTTATGGTACTCTAATTGATTTGTCACTTACCTTCAGGTAGGAACTTAAAGGTATTTCATTACTTACATGATACCTTAAGGGCGTCTACCTATTGTCCCATTTATTAGACTGTTAGCTCTTTCCACAAAGGGACATACCACCCCACCCTTTATAAATATAAAATATATTTGAAGGTGAATAATACATTAATAAGGTTATGCTAAAATACACATTGCCCTGATATTGGCCCCCTAAAAGCATTATGATATATATATTTTTCTTGACTAATCAAGTATTGCCTCTTGTTGAAGTCTATATAATATGTTCAGATGATCAGGTAGCTAACTGGATTTATTTCATATTGCATATTATACAGGTAGTCTTCAACTTGATTATGTCACCATGCAAGGATCATTATTCTGACATGACTGCTGTTGGGTATAGAACTGTTACCTAGTCAAAATTTCCTATATAGTACTTGCTTTATTAAATGTAAATATGTGTTATATGTATATCATATAATACTTTCTGAACTTCTGTTAGAACATCATGTCACTTGATGTTTTAAGCAGTTCATCTGAGTGGATTCATCTCTATAGCTAAGACGAATTGATATTCTCACCAAACGTTTGAATAATAATTATAATTAATATTCTTCTCAGAATTTAAACATGTGAAACTTTCTTTGATATAGGATTTAAAATATGAAGGTATTTTCCAAGATGGAAAGTTCAGTAGAAAATTTTCTGAAGTATTGCAAAGGTATGAATATTTGGGCATAGTTCTGATATAATAATCCTGTATATAATATAATAGGAAATATAAGATAAAGAAAGTAAACATTAAATGGAAATTAGAGTTGAGCTCAATATATTATAGATCATTGAAAGAGTATGAGTAGTTCTGGAGTAGTTAGTTATCTAGAGGAAATGTTGCATAGGGTGATTTTTATATTTTAAAAAATAGGTGTTTTGTTTTGTCTATATATCAGTACTAAGATAGTGTGAAAAAATTGATAGCAATTGCTGTTTTTCCCAGAAAATTCTGATTTTGAATCAGAACCACTTGAGAAGATTACTGTTAAATATTTTGACAAAACAAAGATAGTGACTGAAACAAATCTGTGAAAATTATACAATTGGAACAAGTTATGTTATATTTATAAATTTAAAATGTGAATCACTACATTTATTTGTTTAAAACCTTTACTTCTATCTGTTGCCTATATAATTTACCAATACACAACAAGCACCAGCTGTTTTCTGTTGTTAGAGCAGGTATTGAAAAAGACAAATCTTTTGATCTATATCCCCTGCAGACCCTTTTTTTTAAATGATCCAAAGCTTGAAAAGACATTCTTATCAAAGATTAACAATTAAACATTTATCCATGTCTAATTTAAAAAAAAGTACTATGGCCTGAGCACAAACCCAAATAAAAATACATCCCTCTTGAAAAATATATTGTTATGATTGTTATATGTATATCACACCTTTGTTCCATGAGATCAAAGAGAATGAATTTGGTGGAGAAATTATTTCACTCATATGTTTCTCCTTGAATTACCAACTCATTATTTCCACTAATTTTATTGAATTGCTCTCTCTCAGCCAGACAGTTCACTATTCTCGAACTTCTAGCTATGTGAACCAAAAAGAAAAATGTTGTATCCCTAAAAGAGATCAAATGGGGTAATGAAAACTGTTTACCTTCATAATTGTGTAATAGCTGCTAATAAAGGCAATAGATACAGTAGTTTAAAAGTAATAAAATCCACAACAAAGTGTATTTAATTTTAAATTGAATTGCAAGCAAATGGGTGTCCTAATGAACCCCTGTGTCAATGCAGCTCTAACCAAATTAAGTGAAATAATTTCCATCATGAGCAAACTAAATAAGTACAAAGTTTCAAACCCACCATTCTTCCCGGGAAAAGAGGTTTTCGTGGATGATTCAACTGCAGGAATTAGATAAGAAAGTTCACAATAGAAGTTGCCTCTGCTCCAGTTTTAGGGCAATTAGATTAAGCTTTGTTTAACCTTCAGGTCAAGGAAGAAAAGGATGCTCCAGAATCCTAGGTTGTTTATTTTGGGCAGTGTTTCCCTCACTTCAGATAGCCATCGCCTGCCTCTTACCTTACCATTTGAGGCACACTTCACTTTTACTCTTGTACACTTTTAATTTTAGTTTATGTAATCATATCACTTTCAGAGACAGTCTTTTTCTGACAGCTGATAATTTGGGGATTGGGTTTGGTTGATCCGGGGAAATCCTGGATCAATCTAAGCACCAGACTAGTAAGTGAGATCTAAGTGCTATACTAGTCTTACCATGACTTCTGGATAATATTTAATATAATATATTACTTCACATAGTAGAATCATGGCAAAGCTTTCTTGATTTGGTAAGATAAATGTATTATTGTAATTGATTTGATAAGATAAATGTATTATATTATCTGATGATAATATATCCATGACACGGAGGAAGTTTTCCATGCCAATTTCATCACAATTAACCCTCACAAGAGGGAGCAGTGTAAAATGGAAGTCCTGCTTAAGCACTCATTAACCATGTGATTGCAATTACATGATGGGGCTATATTTTTTAACTCAGTCAACTGTGGTATAACTCTTATCGGCTCCAGCTCCTCTGCCATATAATTGTGCTGAAGCACCTCCAGCAGGCAGCCTTTTGCATGGCTATAAACTTTCCAGGTAATTTAAACTTCAGTTCTAAATGGAATATTGAACTTACAGGAAAATAGTACAATGTACAGTGAATCACATAAGCACGGTCAAGATGCCCATTCAGTTTATGGGGCGGGGTGGAGGGTGTTATTTATTATATTTTATCCCGCCATTACTTTTTATCAACTCAAAGCAACATAAATATCTAATTGTTTGTCAAGTACCGAGGTAATCAGGAAATTCAGGCCGTTCAAATGAGTTTAAAGATTCATTGCAAGCTTAAGCTCTCTACGAGACTCTTATATGAGCTGGAGATAAGGACATTCAAGGTAGGCTGGACTTACATCTTGTATGGGCACCCAGGGATTCATGACATATGATGAGTTTGATCCCCTCCCTCAGGCTCAGCCTGGTCATCTCCTACATTGTCTTGGTTACTGTTTTCCGATCAGGCCCAGCCCAAGAACAATATAGAAAAATCCAGCCAAAGTTCACTTCTTTGTTTGCTTATACCCTATATGCAGAACCTTGCCAAACTAAATGCATGCTACTGAAATCCGAATGGATATACCCTGGAGGATTCAAAGGAGTGGCTCTCCTAAATATCTGTCTCCAATCCATCTTGGGCTATGTTGTCGATTGTCTCTCTCCTCCCCGCCCACAGCCACCCATCCACACTGGAATGTGCTCTTTCCTTTCTTGGAAACTGCCTCTTCACTCACCACCACCTTCTCCTTTGTAGGCACAATCCATCATATTTTGCCATAATGTCCCTATGAGGTGGGTTGGACCAAGAAAAAGTGATGGGCCCAAAGTGACCGATCTGTTATCCATGCTCTTAATCCTGCAAGAACTCAAGGTCCCCTGGTTTCTAGCCCATCACAACCCTGAAGTGGATCTCAGTAGCTTCTGAGATCATAGGGAAAGGCCTTGAAGAAAGGACGTGATCAGCCCAGCATGGCTTAAATCCGTTCCAAGAAATCACTTGAGAAAACACCTCAGACCACCCCTACCCAAGTCATGCCAATGTGGGATTATTATTCTTATTTTGTTCCCATGGAAGAAAAGGAGAAAGAAAAGGGAATGGTAGAAGGGGCTGCTTTCCAACCTTCCTTTTTAAGAAGAGCTTGGACAACCATTTGTCTGAAATGGTATAGGGTTTTCTGCCTGATTAGGGGGCTGGACTAGAAGACCTCTAAGGTCCCTTCCAACTCTGTTATTCTGTTGTAACTATGCATGTGAAAGGCCCAGCTGCTCATGGCATATGTTATTGGTACACAAAAGTAAATTTAATGCCTGGGAAAGTAGAAGGCTGCATCATATGTATTCTCCAAATTTATTTATTTATTTTAGCAATTTATAATACTGCCCAATTATATAATAACCCTGGGCAATATAGAGTAAAAATAAACAATTAAAACGAACAGCAACAATCCCTCTCCCAGTCCAGAAAGAAAAACAACCATTAAAGGGTTTAAATTAAACTCATCTCATTGTTTCTGTGGTTCTTCTTCTTTTTAGAACCTTTATATCACAATTACAGGCTTCATTTGCATTCATCCAAATGTTTAGAAATTACCAGAGAAAAGTATTCCCCCCAAAACAATTTTAAAAATAAAACCCGAGTTTGAAATATTACAAATAATTGTCTTGATACAATGGCGCTGTTTAAACATACCTTATTGCTAATTGAAACCCACGTTTCTGAATTAAATTTCTAACATGAACTTTTTTTTAAAAAAAAGCTGTTTCTTCATATAATGTTTCTATCAATTAGGGTGTTCATTCATTGGGTGAAAACTAGTCAGAAACAGCTACCATTTTTTTTTTTTTTGCAAAACTGGTAGACAATAAATGTTGATCCTTCATATATTTCAAGTCCCAGAAACTTTAGAAACTCACTGTCATAAATCAAGGAATAATATTACCACTCTATATCCCAGAATCAACATCCTAAAATGCTAGAAGATGGTGTGAGATTTTGCCCAAGTTATGCTTTTGGGATACAGTGGATATTCTATCCCAAAGGTGCTTTTTCAAGAGGCAAGTAGACTTCCTTGTTTTTCTTTGAAGACGTTTCACTTGTCCTTCCAAGAAGCTTGCAGTAATAAACAATCTACTTTTGCTAATCTGGACTTTTATGTAAACTCCAGTGTTCACTTGATTATAGGTTACTATTTTTGCCAATCAATTCAGACATAGATGGATGATACTGTTATATTTAAAGGAGACTATTTGTAGCTCAGGGTTGAAACGATGGGGTGTATTGGTGCTCCCTGACCTTGGTTGTTTCTGCTTTGCACTGGTGATGTTACCTGCTAATGAAACATCTGCAGAAAACAACCAAGCTCAGAGAGCACCAGGGACCTCTTAAGTATTATATATTATTCTTTTGCTACTTTGGTTGGCTACACTCCTGGATTCTCTCTAAGAAGCACAAATATGTAGTATGTCTGCGTGTATGTTTGTAGGTGTTTGATTTAATGATCACTGCCCAGAGTCATTTGTTTGAGATAGACAGCTTTAGAATTTGAATGAATGAATAAATAAATAAATAAAGGAATGCAGCAAGTTTCAGGTGTCATGGTTGCCTTTAATTTATGCATGTTATTTAAAATGTTCCCTTTACATTCCCTTTGTCACCAAAGCAAGCCAGAAAATCAGGTGTTGGAAACTGCCTCAAATGGCTGGAAAATGAGGGCTGCAGCCAAACTTCGTAACCTTGCAGGAGTGAGTCACAATTCAAATGGAACAGCTGTTCCTTGCTGGAAGGTAAACTGTTTCAGTCCTTCCCTCCCTCCCTTTCTCCCTCCCTCTCCTTGTATGTTTTCAAAGGAAAATTGCAAATGATTAGATCAGATATATGGATTTCCTTGTTGAAAAAACCTTTTTGTTTAGATTTAAAAAGACACAAGGAGTTTAGCAGGTTTTTAACATGTACATTTTTTGCAAATGCAAAGATGTGCTTTATAACAAAATTTAGTTAGGTTTAGAAGTACCTCTGCCCCATGTTGGCAAGGCAGAGTTTTTCAAGCACTTTACCCACATTGGCCAAGCAAAGTGATATTGTAGGTAGAAGAAAGGCAGCTCTGCCACTATTTAAATGAGACAAGCTTGAGATACGATGCATCTCGTATCTCCTTTTCCTACTCAACTGACACTAGCTTTGAGGGAATGTTGTAAATGCAAGAGAGATTGTGGTATAATTCCTCAGACTGGCGTTTTTGCCCCCCAGTCACTATTCGATTATCTCCCAAATTGCTGTGTTTCAGAGAGATAAAGATTTTTTATGGCTTGCTGACTTGAAACAACTAGAAGAGCCAGAAAAAGAAGAAGCTAACTGGCCATGCATAGTAATTCCATTGGTAAATGCAAAATCTTTGTTTGTGTGACATTTCTAAAATTACTGCAGAAGATGAATCTAAAATATGAAATGTCACATTTGGCATGCAAAACTATCACAATATATTTCAGTATAAAATTCATAGAAGCGTTTAATTTAGAATGTGTTTAATAACTGGGTCTGACTGCATCAGTAATCCTGCCTTGAGGTTTTAGAAACATTGTCTGATTTATTCATTCACATGATGTTAATTGTATGTCTATGTGTGTGTGTGTATCAAAAATATTAAGGTTAATTCTTCACTGTTAATTAAGAATTTTCTAATTTAACTTAAATAATTGCCATTGAGAATAGTTTCTTAAGTATAGATTGTGTTGACAAAAACAAAAAAGGCCTAATTCCTTCAAGTGATTTTTTTTAACACTGCTGAATGTTCTCTATCTATATGGAAATATGCTGTTTCTCTTATTATAAATTGAAGCCAGGAGTTTTTAAAAAGAGATTATTGGTCACTATATTCCTTAACGCATGCCAGGATTAAAAGCTTTGTATTCTGTGGACACTGTCATAACAATACATCCCAAGAGAAATAAATATTTCCATTGCATATAGTGTATACACCTCATAATATTATCATATATCTTGATAACATATGACTAAAGTAAGATTACGTATATGGCTAAAAATCTTCAATATATCAAATAAAATATTTGAGATCTTGAAGAAGTTGTAGGATGGTGCAACCGTGAGCACATTGCCATTCCAAAGTATTTTGTTGAAGGGATGCTTTTTTCATGTGTTATCAGATTTCATGTTAAACAATTAGGATCAAGTACTTTATTTTGAAATTAATGTGTAAAGAAATACTTCTTGCACCTTGATGTAATAAGGTGAAAGCTTACTAAATACTTTACAATACTAGAATCTTAATCTCTCTAAAAATACAAGCAATTTAACGGATCCGTGGAAAAAATCAAGAGGTTAAGTGTTTGCTTCTTGATTTCAGTACAAGTTAGGCAATGTTGATGGCACTATCCAGTGGTGCCAGGGGGAGAAAAGCGAGTCAATTCTTAATGTTTGAGAATAATTAGACCTGTAGTTTAGCATAAAGGATATGTGTTTCGGGGGGGTGGGACTTGTTCAGGAGGTTGGTGTAACCAGTCCATTGTCTTTGTGGGAAACAGACTGCAGGTAGCCCTTGACTTAGGACTATAAATGAGTCCAAAAGTTCTGTGGCTAAGGGAGTTTTGCCCTATTTGCCCCATTTTATGACTTTTCTTGCCATTGTTGTTCAGCAAATCACCGCAATTGTTATGTGACTACCATGATTGTTAAATGAATCTGGCTTCCTCATTGACAGGGCTTGTCAGAAGGCCGCAAAAGGTCATCACACGACCCCGGGACATTGCAACCATCATAAATATATGAACCAGTTGCCAAGCATCTGATCACGTGACCAATGGGGGGGACGCAGCAACAGTAGTTGTGAAAAATAGTTGTCAATAATTTTTTTCAGTACTGTTGTAGCTTTATTTATATATTTTATTTACTTATTTTGTCAGAAGCTTACAATAAAATAGAAATAAGAATAATCATAAGTTTAAATATAAGAAATAGGAACTAATAATTGGGGACAATAGGACAGGGACGGTGCTCAAGCTTTGAATGGTACAAAAGAAATGCTTGTAAGTCAAGGACTACCTTTAAAATATTTCTTAGTGTTGCCAACCCTTTTTAAAGGGGCGAGGTAGAGGCAATTGTCTCCAAAGTCCCCTTGTAGGGGATGAAAACAGAAACATATTTCGCTATTTGAAACAACTGAATGCATCAATGTGTTTCATTCAAGTAGAAAAAACATATGTATTGAAATATATTGCCAAGAGTTATTTCAGAATTTTAGGTTTTTCTATTCCTGATAACTGGACTATTGGCTTCAAATCAGGGCTAGACTAGACTAGACTAGATTAGAAGAGTTGGGAGGAACTTTGGAGGCCTTCTAGTGCAGCTCTCTGCTCGGGGAGGAAGCCCTGCACCCGTGATGGTGAACCTATGGCATGCGTACCGGAAGTGGCACACAGAGCCATCTCTGCTGGCACATGAGTCGTTGCCCTAGCTCAGTTCCACTGCACATGTGTGCGTGCCTCTCACCAGCCAGCTGATTGTTGGGTTTCTGCCATGCATGCGTGGGGGGCGGGGCACTTGCAGGAGATGCACGCGCATGCACTGGGACATGGAAACATGGGGGGTATCATGCGTGCATGCTCAGGGGCGGAGAGCATGGGGAGGTCATGCATGCCTTGCATTATGTGTGCATGCGTGCACTTTCGGCACATGATGACAAAAAGATTAGCCATCAAGTTGTTCCACTGGGAGAGAGAGAAAGAGAGGAGAAATATTATATTGACCTAGATACTACTGAGGAGAAAATGGGATGAGGGGTACTTTCAAAATAAGCTTTTATCCCAACTGATCTCAAGACTGTTTTAAAAAGTACTGATAATGAATGTTGCTCTCTCTCTCACTCTTGTCCTTTAGGTTAACCGCACTAAAAAATCTCAATTTACTGATATCCATCTAAAATGCTTGAGGGGTATCAAAGACAAAGTGCCACAAGGTAGTTACAGTCTCAAGGTTTCCATTTGTAAACAACTTAATGGAAAATTTCTTGCATGCTCCAAAGTGGATGGACAACAATTGACTGGAAAGTCACTGCCTGTGAGACATAATGGGAACTTCTATGACGTGGAGATCTCTTTTGGACAAAGCATATACACAGTAAGTGAAGTTTTTTTTTTAATACGTTTTGTGGTTGGAAAAAATAGTATTTTGTATTGAGCTATGTTACTTTCCACAACTGAGTGCCTTCCACAGGTGATGGGCCAGCTCCTTTTTTTATCAAGTTGGCTAGATATTCTAAAGAACTGAACACCACAGCTGAATCATTTTGGGGAAATATTTAATACACTCTTATAATTTATTTAATATTTTTAGGTTAAATCTGGGCACAGGCAGAATTTTCTATCTTGTCTTTTTAATATAGAAATTATTTCAGTCACTTTTTGAGCACGGTTATATAGCAAATAAGCAAGTAATATATTTATTACAGTATTCCAAAATTACTGGATATATTAAACCCTAGATTATGCAGCATTGTCAGCCACATTTAGGTTTTTGCTTGCTTCTTAAAAAGTCTATGTAGCTTGTCATCTCTGTAATATGATTTGGACAAAGTAGATTTAGAATAATAAATGAATAAGTAGCTGCAGATAAATATATGAATGTATATAGATCTTTTTCTATGTTTTAAGCTTCATGGATTCCCACTTGTGAAAAAGAGCAACGTTTTTAAAGCAAAATGCCAAATAGATAAATATTTGGAAAAAAGAGAATTTGCTACTCTCCAGTACATACATACATATGTGTGTATTTATGTGCATGTGTGTGTGGATAGATAGATTAGATGATAGATGATAGATAAATAGATGATAGATAGGTGATAGATAGATAGATAGATAGATAGATAGATAGATAGATAGATGATAGATATTTCTTCAAATTATTTTATATTCATGCAAAAGTTTATATTAGTTTATTTCAATATTGAGTCATCCCTCTAAAAAGTAGTCAGGAAGAAGATAAAATAAATGCATATACACGCAGAATATTCCTGAAAAAAACAAATGAGCAAGGTAAAGTAAATTTGATTTGATTTAATTTACATGTAATTAATTATGATTCATATATTATTATCATTGTTATTCATCTTGTATTTCTTTCCAACCGCATTCAGTTTTGCAACTCTGCCCTCTGGAAGAAGAAAAAAAATCCCAGCAACAATAGAGACATATATGTTGCATGCCTTTAGCAACTGCCTGTCATCCTGGCAATCTGTGTTGTATACTTCTGATCTATTTGATAAATCTCGTTCACTGGATTACTAGAAAGCTCAATAATTGACCGCTATGAATTGATGTGCTCGTGGATTTGATGGATTTTGTACGAGACCCTTCCAAAAGTGAATCTGCCCATCCTGTCAAGTATAAAGCACACTTTCACCACATTCTATTGTAATTTTATAATAATCCCAGACTAGGGGAAATTGATTCTTCACTGATGGTCAAAAAAGTTCCCTGTGATTCATGTGTTGAGTTGCAGGGTGGATCTTCCTGAGCCCTTTGTCAGATTTCAGAAAAGCAAAAAAGAATGAATGCATAAAACATGACTTTTCCAAAACATTTCCATTTTGAAAATATTCAAGATTTGCCATGAATCAAGGAAGTGAAGACTCTTCCAAAGACATATGGATTATAATTCAATTTTTTTGAATTTTGATCACATGACTGTGGAGATGCTGTAATAGACATAAGTTGAGCACTGATCATAACTTACTTTTTTCATTTCTGTTGTAACTTTGAGCAGTTGCTAAACAAATGGTTGTAAGTTGAGGACCATCTGTGCATCGATAGGCTATTGAAGCCCTTAGAGATCTGAGTTTAATATGCACAAATCTTTATGTGCTGTAGTAACTACGCATGACTAAAATGGCTCTTATTCCCAAGTTCTTTTTATTCCTATTATTCACAGGCTGCTGCAGTGCTAGGGGTGGATATTTATCTCACCTAATGCCATGCAAACTGGGTTGCAAATTGAGGAACAGAGCCATCTGCTCTATGTCAATAAAAAAACTGAAAAGGTTGATGAAGTATTGAACAATATATTTCTCCTAAAATTAAACACAATGATATTGCATTAAAAATAAGTAAAACTTCCCCCAATAAAAATACAGAACAGTAATATTATTCGACATCAGCATCAATACGTATGTAATTAATGTGACTAACAGGAACACTATCAAGCAACCTAAATTCTTATATTCAACCTTTTAATAAAAAATGCTCTAGCTGAAGATAATATCTAGTGCGGTCCTCTGAAAAAGACACTCAGAAATTTGGCCATTCAGAATATATTGACACTAATCAGAAGAGATTCACCTAGAGATTCAAATCTAGAGGTTCAAATCAGGAGATACTATTACACTTTGTGTCAACCTGGCAAAGTTGGAAGTTTGCTAGATTTTGCTAGGTGCTGCTTGGCTTTACTTAATGATAATTCAGGAAGCATAAAACAGCACCTTTTCAAACATGACATTTAATCCATGCATGTAAATCAAACTGTGGGAATAATGTATGATTCATTATTAAAAGGGCACCATATTTTTATTATATCAAATATGACACCCAAACGCTGTGAAAAATTTAGTGGCTTCTCTTGAAGTTTCAAGACACTTATCATCCAGTCATTGAGTTGATGCTGGCACCAATTTTAAATTATAGCTATCAAAATAATAAGCACAACATTTTTTGGCCTAGAAAGGAGTTGGAGAAGAGCGTGAACAATTTTACTGTAAAATAGAAATTTATTTTTAATGTAAGGCTTTCCTAAATCCATATCATGCAGTTTCTTGGTAATATTCTGAACGAGATTGGTATGAGAAATATCTCATAATATCATTGTCCTTAATAGTCACACCCTCAATTTTTCCCCTGAAGTCCTTTCTGAAAGCTACATATATCAAAAACTATTTAACATGACCTAAGGTATCAATTCTAAAATATGATGACACCATCATTTCCTAAGCCTCCGTTTTTCTGAGTCAGCATCTGACTAGGAGCTAAGATATTTTTAACAGCAACAAATAAAGTATTATTAGGTAGGCTAAAGGAAAAAAAAACTTTTTTGTTATGGTTGGTCACAAAGTCAGCCAGATGTTTAGACAGGTTTGGCATTTTTGTCCCCTGTCCTTCCCAAAGACTTGGGATAGGAAGATGTTATTATTTAATAATATGAAAGGTATCATCATAAGATGTAAGCTGTTCCAAGTAAAGCTACTTTTTGCAGTGATAATAGTAATAATAAAGTAGATTGATAGTGATGTTGACAGTGTCAGTGATGTTCAAGTGATGTACCAATTGTTTTTGGATTGCACCCACGGCTATTGGCCTTCTTCTTCTTCTTCTTCTTCTTCTTCTTCTTCTTCTTCTTCTTCT